AGGGTCTAGATAGTCAGTGTTCATAGATGGGATGTTTAGGACTTATTCAATTGGATATGTCAAGTGTTATGTGACCTGCTTCTTCTATGCAGTGAGTTCAAGGGGAGGAAGCTGCCTTAGATTGGAATGGTCCTGCCTTTTCACATGTAGGACCACATTCCTTGGCTCCTAGCTGTATCTATGGAAACTAAGAGATTCTCCCACAGCTGTCACTGGCCTTTGCCATCTCTGCATTTCCTATTTTTCTTTTTCCACAGGAGGTTGAACAAAGTTTATGATCTTTCTGGAAGCCAGGACTTCTCCCAGAGGGTAGAGGTGTTATAAAAGTCTGGGAGAAAGCCTTTATTCAATGCACACCACCTTCAATTCAGTGCTCCCGCTCATCTAGGTCACAGATCATGATTACTACCTCAGGCTACCCACAACTTACCCCGTCCCACTCAGCCCTTTAGGAGGGCAGCATAACTCCATTCTTATCTCCTCTTGCCTTCTCTTTCCCAAGCTCCATGGTGGCCTGACACACTTCCCTAACCTACTTAGAGTCTGTGGAGTGGGAGGAGATGAGCAGATGACTCTCCTGATGTTGTACCCTGGAGGCATGTAAAATATTCCTCCAACTTAAGATCCATCAAATGTAATCATTCTGTGGAGGTAACTAGTCCCAGATACACCTCTAAAATAACCTAGATGGTAATGAACTATCGAATAAAAGAATGAGTCTTAACTCTCAAGAAGATTATAATTGCTAGAATTTGGAGTCCATCTTGTTATATAGTCAACAATCTAGATCAGTGATTCTTAACCTGGGATCCATATGGATAGATTTCAGGGTGCTCATGAAGTTGGATGGAAAAAATTATTTTGAAAACTTTAGTTTCATAAAAGGAAGAAAAGAAACAGGTATTTTTAAGGGCCTACTACATGCCAGACACTGACCTAATTTTTTCTTGCAAATATTGTGTCATTTGATCCTCACAACAATTATGGGAGGTAGGTGCTGCTGTATAACTGATTTTCTTTGTAATTGTATGTACTTATATAGTGCTTTAAGGTTTGCAAAGTACTTTGTATCCAAGTGGCTCAGTGGGTAGAGCACTAGACCCAGAGTCAAGAAGACTTGAGTCCAAATCCAGGATTAGACATTTACTAGCTATGTGACCCTGGGTAAGTCACTTAACCTATCTGCCTCAGTTTCCTTATCTGTAAAATGGGGATAATAATAACAGCTACCTCCCAGGGTTGTTGTGAGAATCAAATGAAGTAATGTCTGCAGAATGTTTTGCAAACCTTTTAGAGCTCTATAGATGCTAGTCTGTTACTTTTATTTTTATTGCTATTATCTCATTTTATTTTTAAAAATTACTCTTAAAAGGGATCAGGCTGCATCAGATTAATAGAGGGGTCCATGACCTGAAAAAGATTAAGAACCTCTGACCTAGATTAAACTCTTTCCTCTCCCAGGTCCAGAACCCTATCCAGAGTGCTGACTCTCCAGAGGAAGAAGGAAACAATCTCGTCATTTGAAGGTAACAAAGGTAACAAAGATCCAAGACAGAGAGGGAGAGAAAGGAGAGAGAGAGAGAGAGAGAGAGAGAGAGAGAGAGAGAGAGAGAGAGAATGAGAGAAAGAAAGAAAAACAATAGGTAATAAAAACATTTTAGCAGAAACTCAATCTGTGGGTGTAGAGGAAAAAGCAGAGATCATCACGGGGAGCTTATCTAAACCAGGATGAGTTAAATTTTAAGCAGGATCTTGAGAGAGGAAAGAGACATGGTTTGACAGACAGATAAAGTGAGTATTTCAGGTCAGGACAGCATTATGCTGTGGGTCTAAAAAGAGAAGGTGACATGGTCTGGAAGAGAAGTTCAGGATCAAAGGTCAAAAAGAAGTGAGGCAATATGACTAGTGTGGAGATATGTTTTGCATATAACCTATATAAAGTTGTTTACTGTCTTGGGAAGGGAAGAAGGGAGAAAAATTTGGACCTCAAAATCTTGTAAAGGAATGAATGTTAGAAATTGTCTTGATTACATACAGCAGTAGCAGTATGTAGGCGCTGCATGGCCAAGTTGAGTGACTTCACAGAGGATCAGACAGCAGAGTTCAAGGAAGCCTTCTAGCTGTTTTATCAAACAGGGAATGGAAAGATCTTATACAGACAGTGTGGGGATGTGATGCAAGCCCCCAGGCCAGAGCCCTACCAATGCTGAGATGCTCAAGGTCTTAGGGAATCCCAAGAGTGATGAATGTGAAGGTGCTGGGCTTTGGGTGTTTGATAAGGAAGGGAACAGCCTAGTCATGGGGGCTGAAATAGGATAAGACCTCATAACCCTGGCTGAAAAGATGACAGAGGAAGAAGTAGAAGTGTTGGTGGCAGGGCATGAGGACGGCAACAGTTGTATCAACTATGAAGAGCTAGTCCAAATGGTGCTGAATGTCTGAGAACAACTTCCCTTTCCACAAAGAACCCTCTCACTTTCTCAATGTGAAAATCATCTTCTTGTCCCTGAAGCAACTGACATTTCAGGATTATCAACATCCTTACTTCAAACCTTCTCTCCTTTCACCAAATAAACTTGCTATCTGTTTCTAAAAAGAAAAGAAAAGAAAAGAAATTATCTTTACGTGTAATTGGAAAAATAAATACCATTAAGAAAATGGAATGAGGACAGGTAAAAAGCTTGTCCATTTCCATTGATGAGTGAAATGAGATTAAAATGGGCAAATGATGCTCTTGGTGGAAAACCTTTCCACATTTCTGGAAGAAGCAGTGAGCTCACCCCACCTTGAAGGTGACACCTGAAGAAAACCCAGAACAACAATGCTTGGGAACAGAGCTCCTAGGAAAAGGTCCAGGAAAGAAGTAGGATGACCTAGAAAGAGAGGTCCAATCTCAGCCAGATTCCCACAGGGGTAGAGTCAGCTGGGAAAATACTGTAACTGTCTCCCATCTGATAGGCATGCCAGATAAGTTGAGATAATGAAGCCAAGCTATGCTCTGCTTTTAAGCCTCTGCCCATCTTTGTCCTATGGAAAGCTCTTCACGTAGCTAGTCAGCACCTCTCAGGAAACAAACATTCTATCTTCTGGGAGAAAGATTATCCCTGATAATGAGGCCTATAGAAAACAAAGACAATTATTATTTCCACTCAAGCAACACACACCACCCCTTTATGGCAGCTTGGTGAGACTTAGGTACATTAACAACAAGATGAGAGATGCTCTGTGGTTCTTTATGACCTGTATCAACAGATGCTATGATTCATAGGTTCCCTATGGCAGGAGAGGGTTTCACAAAGCAGTGATGGAGGAGAACATCCCCCTTGGTCTCATTCCTGAGGAGAAAACCATCCATAAGGATGCCTCATTGCCCCACTGATTGGCAGAAAATCTTATCAGACCATCATTTGCCAACATCCTTCTGCTAGGCCATACTTCCTAGGGAGAGGGGTCAAGAGGTCAGCATTAGAGAAGGCCTGTTCTGTGTGCCCAGTATCACCTTATGGTGGGATCCAGGGGAAATAAATATGAGACCTCTTACCCTCAGTGAAGCTCACCTCATATTTGTTTTCTCCCTCATTAAAATGTAAGCTCATTGCAAGTAGGGATTATTTCATTTTTTTGACTTTGTATCACTGTAGCCTAACAGTTTCTGGCACATAGTAGGTACTTAATAAATGCTTATTAATGATTTATTGAAGAGCAGGTTGGATTAGATGGTCTTTGAAGTTCCTTGCAGCTCTTAACAATACTATGATTTATAGGAAAGATGACTAGGGAAGATTAGAAATGTGCATTTGACTATTTGCCTGATTGTTTTAGGATTATCTAGCTTGCTTTGTTAGGGAGATTGTTAACTTCTTGAAGATAGAGACCATGTCTAATACGTCTTTGGTATCCTTCAAGGCCCTGACCAATGTACTGGATTGAGAAATAGCATTCAGTAGACACATGGCTGATGGCTTGTTTGGAAAGAGAAAACATGGTCTTTATTCTTGAAGCTCAGTCATTATAAGCTACAATAACGAAATCATCATAGTTCACTCATACAAACACATATAAATACGTGTTCAACTTTTTGGTTTACAAAACACTTTACATACTTTATCACACTGTATCTTCACAATGAAGGTAGTGCATATATTAACATTCCCATTTTAAGAGAAACTGAGGCTCAGAAGAAGGAAGTGAGTTACCCAAGTTCACATAGGTGATTAGTGGAAGAACCAGCATATAAATCTAGGTCTTCTGATTCCCAATCCAGTGTTTGGCAGATGAGTTATGTGCATGCATGTGCATATGTGTGCATGCATGTGTACAAGTACACTCTCCCAAAACTATTTAAAAGAGGAACAGATGCAAATATGACAGACAAAGTAAGCCAAATATCGAGAGGATGCAGCGTTAAAGCATGAGAAGAGATTGGTAGTTTCCTAGAGAATGCGAATGATCAGTGTTTGCAAGGAAGGAAATAAATGTTTGTTTGAACATAGATTGAATGGAAGGAAAGAGTAGAGTTTGGAGATGGGAAAGTGGGTGACTTTCCCCTCCCCAGGTCAGAGGATTTGGACAATAAAAGTCTGAAGAATCCTCAGAGATGAGGAGTAGTTCAATGAACAGGAAATAACCAGTAATAGTGGCTTGTATTGACATAGTGTGTTTGAACAGAAGGGAGTCAGTCTCAGACTAAGAGAGCAGCTCAGAAACGAGGCATCTTAGTTGTGTTAACAGTTGTATTTGTTGTCTTCATTATAGAGTGCATGACTGCGACATGACTGAAAGCAATTAGCATGCCTCTTGTTTGTCTGCAGATCATGTTGAGGCTAGAAGCCAATCTCCACACAAGGGCAGGATGCCAAGGCACCAATGACTTTTACACCACTTCTAACCAGGAGTTGGCTGTGAGCTCAGTGTTGGCAAATGCCAAGAGGATGCCATCAGCAAGCCCTCCTTCATGTAGCAATAACCCGCCTCCTTCTACTCAACCATAAAAACTTAAGGGACCTCCAGCTTCTCAACCATAGCGTCTCCTCTCTTTCTACTTTCTACACTCAGCATTTCTTCTGGCCATCCTATTTCACCCCACCATGTCTCGTCAGTCCACTGTCACCTTTAAGACAGGTAGCCGAAGGGGCTTCAGTGCTGCTTCTGCCACCACCCCCTCTGCTGGACGCTCCCGCTTTAGCTCTGTCTCCGTGGTTCGCTCATCGGGAGGCCATGGAGGGCTGGGGAGGATCAGCGGTGTTGGGACTGGCTTTGGTAGTCGAAGTCTCTATAATCTGAATGGCTCAAAGCGAATCTCTATCGGTGGGTCCAATAGTGGCTTCCGGAGTGGATTTGGTAGGAGAACAGGTGTATATGGCTTTGGTGGTGGCATTCAAAGTGGACTTGGTTTTGGAGCTGGGGTTGGAGGTGGTTATGGGGGTGCTGGGTTTCCTGCCTGCCCCCCTGGTGGCATTCAAGAGGTCACTGTGAACCAGAACCTATTGGCTCCTCTCAACCTGCAAATCGACCCCACCATCCAGAGGGTGCGCAAGGAGGAACGAGAGCAGATCAAGACCCTCAACAACAAGTTTGCCTCCTTCATTGACAAGGTAAGATACAAGATTTGGCTCTGCTCAGTAAGGCTGGATGCATGCTACAAAAAAGACCAGTCATATCCCCATGGTGCTTGGCCACTGGGCAAACTTCTGCTGATTCGGGCTACTAATGCTACTTCCTTTTCTTGGGAAGGTACAACAATTCAGGTTCATTCATTTAGTAAATAGTTATGGAGCACCTACTATATACTTGCCTTATATGCCACTGGGGCAGTGCTCCACTGTCTTCCAATCCCACGACCCCATCTCACCATTTAGTGAGTCTATGGAACTTGGTTTCAATTATTTCTGGGTGAAAACCATATGATCAAGATGATAAGAATGAGGTATTTGTCGTATGTAGAGTGTGAAAACTTCCACAATGTAGAAATCTTTCAGGACCTTTGCCCACTGGGAAGAATTAGGTCAATTGATGTTCCTGAACTTGCCCAAAAGAATCCAAACAATGCAGTTTCTCCCATAAACCACTGGGCTCCACACTGGTACTTTCATCCCAGCTCTGCCAAAGTTCTGGAGGTTTTCTTCAGGATCTTCTCTGATTTAAGCTGTGGTTGTGACTAATATATTTTCTCCATGAAGATTTTAGGTGGAAGCTGTCCACCTGTGTGGATAGTGTGTGTAGAAACACTCCCTGCCCTCACCTCTCTAGACTTAACCTTCTTTGTACGGCCTCCAGGTGAGGTTCCTTGAACAGCAGAACAAGGTACTGGATACCAAATGGACATTGCTCCAGGAGCAGGGTGTGAAGACCGTGAAGCAAGATGTGGAGCCAGTTTTTGAAGGCTACATCAATAATCTCCGGCGACATCTAGACATTGTCACAAATGAAAAGGGGAGGGTGGACTCTGACCTGAGGAACATGCAGGATGTTGTGGAAGATTATAAAGCCAAGTAAGTGAAGAATGGGCTCACTACCAGTCACCTGGGCACTGTCCTTCTCCTGGGGGAGGGGATGGTGCCATGTAGGCTTCAGGAGATTGTCCCTATGAGTTGGAAACTGCCTGGTTTGGGGCAGCAACAATGGTGGCCCAATTCTGGGCCCCCTCCCCTCTAATGGTCAGCACGGATTGTTAATCATGACTAGAAAGGTGTATTGCTAGCAGTACTAGTGTTCCAAAATATCAGATATTCTAATCACCATTTTACCCTGACTTTGGGATCTGTGGGAGGATTTTCTGACTGTAGCCTTGGCTTCGTGCTTTTGTGGCACTTGAGTTATACTATTATGAGAGTTTTCACTGGTGCAGTGGGAAGGGTGCTGGATTTGGAGTCTTGTGGGTTCTGATCATGGTTCTACATCTTGAGACCTTTAGAACTTTGTACAAGTCATTGTCTTTCTCTCCACACTTCGGTTTTCTCATCTCTAAAATCAGGGGTTCAGATGAGCAATTTTTTTCCAACTTTCAATCTTATAAAGATACAGAAGATGATGAGAGGGTGATGTTTGTCCCCTGTGGATGACAATAACAATAACAACAATAATATATTTATAGGGTGCTCTAAGATTATGAAGTGCTTCACAAAATTGCTCTCGCTGTATCCTCATTACCCCCATTTTACAGATGAGGAAACTGAGGCAGGCTAGGTGAAGTGACTTACCCAGGGTCAAATTGCTAGGAAGTGTCAGAGGATAGTTTTGAATTTAGGTCTTCCTGACTCCAAATCCAGTGCTCCACTGCACCACCCAGCTGCATGGTATGACATCACTGAGGGATGTGTATTCTATTGGAAAAGGAGGTTTCTAGCCAGCTTTATTTTGACTATGTTACAAAGGCCAGCAACCTCTGTACATTACGACAACAGTATATTCAAGTCTAGTAGAGACAGGATCCTTGGTCTCTCTCAACCCAGGATTGCCTCCTTGTTGCAAAGTCAGGTCATCTGAGAACTCGAGTGCAAAGGGATCTAAAAGGTTATCTAATGTGACCTGTAAAAATACCCTGTCCCTCAACCTCAACAAGTAGTTGTCCAGTCATTTTGAATTCTGAGTAACAGGGAGTTCACTATTTGTATGGCTTTTGGCAAGGAAACAACTTCTCTGGGCCTCAGTTTTCTCATCTGTAAAATAGGGAGGTGGACTAGAGGACCTCTAAAGTCCAGAGTGGTGGAGTAAATTCCGAAGTCAGGAAGACCTGAGTTCAAATTCAGCCTCAGATGTTTCATAGCTGTGTGATCCTGGACAAGTCACTTAATCTCTGTTTGCCTAGGTTTCCTCAACTGTAAAAGAGGGGACAATAGCAGTATCTACTCCCAAGCTTGTTATGAAGATCAAATGAGATGATGTTTGTAAAGCATTTAGACAATGCCTGTCACATAGTGGGTACTTAATACATTCTTGTTCCTCCCTTCCCCCAATCCTAAACCAACTCTTTCAGAGAGTTCTTATTGTTTTCCTCCCCTTATATAAAACAAAAACCTACCTTTCAGCATTTTTTCCTCCCTTGTTTATAGTTCTGCCATGAGAAACTGAGCAGAAGAAGTCAAATCTATTTGCTATATGAATCTTTTCTCCACTAGACTAAACATACTTGGTTCAGTTCCTTCCACAGATACTCAATAAAAGTCCCAATTCCTTCCCCAGACACAGCAGGCACTAGAAGAGGCAGTCCAAAGGAAACATTGTGCAGGGATTTTAGAAAAGAGAAAAGCACACCTGTGCTTTTAATCCCACAAGCTCCACGCCTCCCTTCTGTTCTTATAAAAAACCTTCTGGCCAAAGAAATTGTTCTTTTATGAACGAAGAAACAGGGTTTCTCTGTGACTCATCTAGAGTCTCAGATTAAGTTGGCAGAAGAGATAAGGTTGTTATCAGGCCTTCCGACTCTTGACCCACTGTAACAGCCTGCTTAATACCTTGCAACATCCAGGTTGATCCACTTGCCCAACCATCTCTCCTCTTTCCCAACAGATTCGAAGATGAAATTAACAGACGCACAGCTGCTGAGAATGAGTTTGTGGCCCTGAAAAAGGTGAGAGTCAGAATGTCATTTTTAAAAAGGGGAAAGCAGAAATTGTGCCTTGGGCTCTGGGCATCCCCTTCCTACCCTCCATATTTGGGAAGCCATCAGACTATGCAATCTCTTCTAAAACAAACCAAAAAAGCATCTGATCTGCCCAGATGCCCACCATTCTCAGATTGTGTTGGCCACAGCTATACTAAATCAGCTCTTCCCCTACCTTGGTTCAAAGGATGCCAGTGTTCATATTGTACTCTCTGTACTCCCCCCTACCCCATCCAACACACACACACACACACACACACACACACACACACACACACACACACCACTGGAAATCCCCATAAAGGGAATCAGAAAAGGGAGGCTTACAATTTCCTTTAGGCATGCAGCCTGACTTCTTTCTTCTCTTCACCACCTGATTCCTGTGAGGCTATGGACATAGGCCTGTGGCTAAGCACCCATATCTTTTCAGGATGTTGATGCTGCCTATATGGACAAGATGAAAATGGAATCCACAGTCAACTCCCTTCAAGACGAGATAAACTTTCTCCAAATACTGTATGATGCGGTAAGAAACACTCATGCGTGTGTATACATACATACACACATATTTTTTCAAGGTAGAAAAAATTATTTGTATATATATGCATATGAATATATGCATACACACATATTTCCTACCTGGAGATGGAGTAGAGGAAGGGAGCATGGTTCAGGGCAAAAAATACTGACTTTGGAGTCAGGGGACTTGAGTTCAAATCCTATCTACCCCTTTATTACCTGTGTGACCTTGGATAAGTCCCTTGAACAGCTCTCTGGGCCTTATTTTCTATAGCTGTAAAATAAAGAGGTTGGACTAGTTGGCTTCTAACACCATTCCAGTTCTAAATCTATGATTCTCAGATCCTAATGAACGAGGCTATAATCTGAATGAACACCCAGGGAATATCATCTCAGTACAAATTATTTAGTATTCTCCAAGCAGGTGCTTGAGACGTCCATGGGAGGATACCTGGAGCTCCTCCTGTACGCTGTTCTGAGTGCCCTTCCCTCAAGGTAGGACAGCTTCCCAAATGGCAGAATACTGAGCAACATTCTGGAGAACTCAGACCCTAGCTGCCTCTTCCAGTCACTGACCTCTGGAGGAGTTCCATTCTAAGCCTGTTTTGGTAGTTAGGCTCCTGAATCAATAAGAGGGAAGAGAGATGCAGGGTGTAGAGGATCTTATCCTGATAATCGCCTAAGAAGAGAGGTAGGTAAAACAAAGAACATATCGAAATCACTATAGTTTAATGAAAATCAATATTCCCTTCTGAATCTCAGGGCTTGTACGCAGAAATGACCCTTAGGAATGGGATAGTGGGCACTTTTGTTTTAGTCCTGAGAGTGTCTGAAGTCTATCTCCTCCTAACAATAATAATAGTAATATGACAATAATAAGAATGACAATAAGAATGACAACTGACATTTATTACTTCAAACTATCAAGTGCTTATATCTATCTCATTTTAGCCAATATGCCAGAAAGTTACTCTGAGCATTTTTTTGAGACAATGAAGGTACTGAAATTTTTTAAAATTTGATTTTGTTTTTAATTTATGGAACAAAACAAGCATTTCCATAACATGGTATAATAAAAGAGATGATCTCATGTGAAACTGCAAATCTATTACATACAACTTACTATTCCTTTTAAATGTATGATAGTTTTCATGTAAATTTCATTTTTTTCTTTTTTTCTCTCCCCCCTCCTTAAAGACAGCTATCATTAGACACAAATAGGCATAGATATGTAAAAATGTTCTATATATACTTTTATTATCATTTCTTTCTCTGGACTAGAAATCTCAAAGGATAACTTTCTGATAGAAAAGTAATGGACTCAGCATGCAAAATGAGACATTTTTTGTACATAGTCAATGTGGAAATTTGCATGGCTATGTATTTTTGCTACAAGGATTTTGTTATTTTTTTTCTTTTCTTTGTTTTTTAAGTAAGGGGGAGTGAGAAGGAAAGAAAGAAAAAGAGAGAAAAAGAGAATTTTGTTCATTGTCCATTGAAAAAAATTAAAATCTAAAAACAGGAGAAACATGCAATCTTAGGCATCTGTCATTAGATTAGATTAGTCAAGACTGTGTGACCATCTGTAAGGAATGTTATAAAAGAGAATATTGTCCTGGGTTTGAGGGTAGACTCCAGGACCTTTAGGTCCTTTCTGGTTGTGAGGTGCTAAGACCCTGGACTTTCTGGCTTGGCAGGAGATAGACCAGATGCAAACTCAGATCTCAGACACTTCTGTGGTGCTTTCTATGGACAATAACCGAAGCCTGGACCTGAACAGCATCATCTCTGAGGTCAAAGCTCAGTATGAGGACATTGCCAATCGCAGCCGAGCAGAGGCAGAGTCTTGGTACCAGACCAAGGTAAGCAGCGATGCTTCAGTGATGGCTTCCAGTGCATCTCCCCCAAACTCCCCCACAGCTTTCATGATAATGAAACCACAATACATAGGTGACTAATCCCGCTCCTTTGGAATCTGGGACCCCTGACTTTCATGAAGATATTTGAAAACATTCTCACCAAAGGGAACTAAATGAGCCATCCTCATTGGGTTCTGCAAGTCAGATTTGAGCAGCACATAATGGTCCATAATAATGATAGATTGTTTCTAAGTTATTGGGAGTTAGACCCTTGTGGGTGGGGGGCACTATATCATATATGCTATGTGAAAGTGTAAAGGAAATAAGAACATAGCTTATGGCCTGCTAACAGTCTGAGTTAAAGGTAAAGAAAGGACAGAAATATGAATCAATCAACCAATCAACAAATGCTTATTAAGCACCTACTGTGTGCCAGACACCATGTTAGGCAGTGAGAATACAAGTGTATTTTTAAAAGGCCCACTTGAAAAAGAGTGTAAAAGTAGAGAGTGTGTATGATGAATGAGTGGTTATAGCTGGGGAGAAATAACCTGAGAGAATGAGAGCTTTTCTTCTTCCTCTAGCAGTGGTGTTCATGGCTTTCTTGTCATTCCCAATTCTGACCTTGTCTCTCTGTGACTATGTCCTGGCTGTGTGTCTCACCTCCTCCATTAGACTGATTATCCTCATTTCTAGAGGAAAGGGTCGTACATTCTATTTTTATCTGAATCTCAGAGGAGACGTTCTACAAAGCAAAGGATACTGGATGTAGAATGAGAGGATCTGGGTTTGAATCTCGGTTCTGCCACTTAGTACCTCTGTAACATTGGGCTTCCCATTCCTCAACTGTAAAATGAAGGTGTTGGTCTAGAGGACGCCGAAGATTCTTTCTAGCTTTAAATCTATGATCCTGGGGCAACTAGGTGGCACAGTGGATAGAGCACAGCCCTGAAGTCAGGAGGACCTGAGTTCAAATCTGGTCTCGGACCAGACCCTTGACACTTACTAGCTGTGTGACCCTGGGCAAGTCACTTAACCCCAATTACCTCGCCAAAAACAAAACAAAAGAATAAATCTATGATCCTGTGATCCTATCGATGCCCCAAATAAAGCTCATCATACAGAGAGTGCTCAGGGCAGGGATGCTGGCTGACGAACTGACCGAGTCTGCTCTTGCGGGTCTAGTATGAGGAGCTTCAGGTGACAGCTGGACGCCATGGAGATGACCTTCGCAACACCAAGCATGAGATCTCTGAGATGAATCGGGTGATCCAGAGGCTGAGAGCCGAGATCGACAGTGCCAAGAAGCAGGTAAGGTCTTAGCTGCTCCAAAAGAGCCCCCGGCCCCCTGGTCAACAATATGTACAAAGGGAACTTCGGTGCAGCCCCTGGGGCTAGATCTTCAGGTCTGGTGTTGTCCGAGCCACAGGTGATCCCTAAAGAGCAGCGCGAGGGCGGCTAGAGCTCACTCATAGCAACTGGTTCTCCTCCGCCTTGAATTGTACAAGATTCTCAAATAGGCTGGGGAAAATCTCCAAAATACTGGAGACGATATCAATAGGTTCAAGTCATATTTAGTCTTTCTTTTTTAGGCAAATGCAATTCAATTCAAAACAAGCAATAATTGAACACTGCTAGACTAAACAAAAAAAAAGTCATCACCTTTGAGTATTTTTATATTCTGCTGGAAAATCACAAAAAGAGCAGATTTAATATTCCCATAAGCTCCTGCTAACAGATTGTTTTCTTTCTGGAGTTATCCTAATCTGCTTATGGAATTTCCATCCGAGAAACATGAGAGGCTTTGTGAGTTGTGTACAAAGTAAATCAGCGTGCTCTGGTGAAATGAGAGCTAGCCTGGGAAACAGGGGACCTGGACTGCAATCTCAGCTCGTCCATTAACTTGTTCTGATACCTTGATTAAGTCGTTCACCTCCCCTGGCGTCAGTTTCCTCAACTGCAAAACAAAGGGGTTAGACTATCTTTTTTTTTTTTTAAGGTCTCCTGTAGCTCTGAAATTTAATTCTACACTCCCCCTGTTCTCCCTATAGTGTGCCGATTTGCAGACAGCCATCACCGATGCTGAAGAGCGTGGTGAGATGGCTCTCAAGGATGCCCGGGCCAAGCTGGTAGACCTTGAAGATGCCCTACAGAAAGCCAAACAAGACATGGCGCGTCAGCTTCGAGAGTACCAAGACCTGGTGAATGTCAAGCTGGCCCTGGATGTAGAGATCGCCACCTACAGGAAGTTGCTGGAAGGGGAGGAATACAGGTAGGAGAACCTAAAACCACGTTCGTCCCCAAGGCAGGCTGGACATCACCTGCTGATACCGGGTGACTATGCAGAGTTTCCAAGGATTCAGGTCTCTGCAGCTCTTCTGGAAAATCCCACAGAATGAATACACATGTATGCAGGCCAGTCAGTGACTAATACTGATAGCATGGTTTTTATTCCCCGAGTCCCTTCTAAGGGAAAAAGCTGGGGCTGAGTTCTGTCCTTGATGCCAGGCTAATTTCTTCTTAGCTTTTCAAACCTGGTTTCAACATGTTACAGAATCCAGGCTTCACCTTGGCTCTTGTGAAAGGAAAAAAAATTCTCCTGGTTGTCTGACAAGTTTCCAGATGTGGGAGGGAGCAAGTGTGAGAAGAACACTGAGACGGAAGTCAGGAGATGTGGGATAGAGCTCAGCTCCTGCCACTACCACCTGTGTGGCATTGGGCAAATCGCTTCTCCTTCTTTGGCCTCAGTTTCTTTATCAATAAAATTGGGTGGGGGCTTGGTGATAGTGGAGGTATGACACTCTAGAATTCTAAGCCCTAGCCTCTGAATGGAGGCTGATGAAAAGGAACTCCTTAATGTTCTCATACAGGACCACCCCTATTGCTAAAATAAGGGTATAAACCACCTCGTATCAGGTTTTCCAGATGGAAAAGGATCTGTAGTGTGCCTAGTCAGTTTGGTAAAAGCATAGTGATAGGCACAGAAATGACAACCTCCTGTAAACTGTTACATGCAGAGTCAATCCAAAGGAATTGGAAAGGGTGACCAGTGGAAGGAAGAGACACAAGGGAGGTCTTTTTTTATAAAGGGCAAGAGAAGAGGAAGGGAATAAGTATTTATGTATCAGGCACTACGCTGAGCACTCTATCAGTATTCTCTCATATAATCAAAGGAAACATAAACTGTTTTTCTTTTTCAAAATGAAATAATGGGTTCCATTATATAGGTGGCACTTGTAATTTACTTCTGGATTTTGTTGTTACCCAGTGTTCTCCTAAGATATTATACCAGCCTGAACATTAGCCAAGTATCTGACAATAGCTCATTATTAAGACAAAAGATTCCCTCCTTATGTGACAAGTTTCCTGAAGTCTTACCTTCTGCCTTGATGCCAACATATGACTAATTGTCCTTTTCATGAGGTGTTTGACGAGTTTTTATGAAAATAAAATTCCATTGCCCAAATCACTGCCTTTCCTTTTATGTCACCAATCCACACATTATTCCAATTATTGTATGATTATTATTGTTATTTTAATTGCAATTGCTATTATTTAGATCATTTTAAGAGGCTGCCGTTTGCTGGACACAAGGTATAACCTTTCTTTTGTTCTTCTCAGGTTGAGTGGAGAGGGAGTTGCACCAGTTAATATCTGTGAGTATAATCTCCTTTGATATTGCCGTAAATTCCAATCCTTTGCACCACTTTAAGGGGTGGTAGTGGAGGCCAGCTGATTAATTTGCACAAGGTTTTCATTTTGCGATTTTTGTTGCTGCCCTGAAGGTTAGGAGGTTTTGCAAAAGTCAGTATGCTGTAGGTGCCATGCAGAGAGGTGGAAAGAATACTGTCTTTGGAATCTAAAGACCTGGATTCTGTTCTTGGTTCAATCCCTGATCTAACCATGCTGAACCTCAGTTTTGTGACCTGTAAAATGGGACTGACCACACTTGACTTAGGAGTGCTATGAGGATCACATAAGATAAACTGTTTATAAAGTGCTTTATAAATGGGAAAATAACAAATGAATGCCACCTATCATGAGGCACTATGGTATAGTGGAAGAAGTGCTGTATCGGGGGTTAAGAAGACCTGGGTTCAAATCCCACCTGTAACACTTATCAGTTGCGTGACCATAAGCAATTCACTTAATGTTTCTGAACCTCAGTTTCCTCGATGGTAAAATGGGAATAGTAACACATCTGGGACCTAACCCCCATGGGACTGTTGTGAGGTTCAAGTGAGATAGTGTTTGTATACCTATTATTATTATTTAAATATTATTTATATTATCATTTAATAGTAAATAATTATTATTTTAAAAGTAACTGATTCTTTTACCACCACCTGTTCTGGAAGGTGGAATTCTTTAGCACCAAGATATCTTCTCTGGAATCCTTTGTACAACCACAGAGTCCTAGCTTAGGGGTAGTTGATGTAGACACATTCCAGCCTAGAATCAGAATAGATGAGTAAATATCTGAGGTTCCCTTCTAGTTGGGACCCCATAAGATTCAATTCCAGCTTAGCTCTTCTTTCCATAGAACTCAAAGTGGGTTTCAAGGAGTTTTAAAACAAGAGGCACCTTTGCCTCTGGATACTTGCCCAAATGTCCTTAAGCAGTAAGCTGACGCCACCTCTGATTCTGATTCTGATTGTCTCTTTTTCCTTTGGCAGCTGTGGTCACCTCTACTGTCTCCAGCGGCTATGGCAGCGGCAGTGGTGTTGGCGGCACCAACCTGGGCTTGGGTAGGGGTACCAGCTATTCCTACACCACCAGCGGTGGGCACAGCCTAGGTGGAGGACCGGGGAGCCCTGGCTTCAGCGCTAGCAGTGGCCGGGGCCTAGGAGGCAGCTTTGGCAGTGGCAGTAATTCCAGCATTAAGTTTGTCTCCACCACCTCCTCTAGAAAGAGCTACAAGCATTAGATGTCCTCCATCAATATCTCTCCCAATTTCACTTCATTCTCAATCTTGGACTAGCCCTCTTGCTACTGTCCACATTCAGGGGTTATCTCTCCACTCCCAGATGTGTAGGTCTTTTGGTATTCTTTTCTCTCTCTTGCCAGCCATCCATCTACCCATTTGATACACTTTTGATGCTGCTGAGGAGCTGGGAGTCACAATCACACCTAGGTCTCTAACCCCTAGCCTAGCCATTGGTTGGTTCTCAGATAAGTCTTATTCTACTCATAGGGACAGTTGCCAAAGCCTCTCTCTTTCAAAACAGCTCAGTTCAATAAACCTTTGCTATGTGCAAGAAACAGTGCTGATTCCTGGGATGTCCAAGTCCCAATTCAGCTTTAGAATATTCCCTTTAGGTTTCTCTACATGCAAGAAGATAGGGGGATTTGAATTCCGATGCCATTTCTCCCAGGCCATTTCCACAAGTGCTTTCAAATGAGTTCCTCTCCCAGAAACAGTCTGTCTAACTGACACAACTGATGTCATTTTGTTGGCCACCCCATCCTATAGTGCATATAAGCTGCTCCCTGAGGGTATTACCTCCTTCCTTTGCCTTCTAGGAAATTGTCTATTAAAATGCATGTATAAGATATGTAGGCTCATGGATTCTGTTTGGATGGTGAAAGGCATCAAGAGAAACTAAGGTATGCATCAACTGCTCAGTCTAAGGCCCAAGGACTGACTAGGTAATTGATATCCTGCTTCCTCTTCCAAGACATGAAAGGTTCGGAGGAGAAGGAGGAAAAGGATGTGGATGGGCAGAGAAGGGGAAGGTTATTTCAGGGAAAGGGAATGATTAGTGTAAAGGCCAGTCTTCTCTCTTATTCACATATTCCTCATCCCACCCTGTCTATCTTCCCAATTCCCCATCTCTCACTGAAGATGGCATTGTCCTAGAACAGAGACCCTGCTCCCATTTCACAATGCCTTCCAGGTTAAGGGCAGGATTCTGTTCCCCTCCCAAACAGAAAATTTGTTGCACAACAGCTGTTGTAGAGTGGCCCAGCCCTCTACTCCAGAAAGGCAGTAAAGGGACAGATTGTTCCAAGACAGCTTCCAACGTGCCAACAGGAGTGGAGAAATAATAGACCAGGGAAAAGAGTTAAAAGCCAACCCCAGGGGCAAAGTTTTCACAAAAGAGAGAGTTTAGGTCCTTAATTGTTAGACATATCCAGGAATCTAGCAAATTCCCAAGTTTACAAGCTTCCCAGACCCTTTCATTAGGGCTTGGCCAAGGGTGTGGCTAAAATGGAATAATCTCCAGGAGAGTGGTAGTAGTGATGGGGAGGGGGTTGTAGTCAAAATGTCTCAAATAGAAAGCATTTTCAGGGACCCCTAGTCTTGGGTGGCTAAAGGGGTGAGAGGGATTTTCCTAGGACTAGGGTCTAAGAAAAAATCAATATGAGGAGAATATTAAATCACCAAGGGCCAAGGGATGTGTGTGTGTGTGTGTGTGTGTGTGTGTGTGTGCGTGTGTGTGTGTGATGGAGAAGGGGGGAGATACAAAACATACAGCACTAAGGAAAATTTTCAAAAGTTCTTTCAATCTCCATGGGTAAAGAGCTAAGAACCAGGAATAAAGGACTAAGAACAAAGGGTGGAAAGAATAAAGGGAAAGAACAGCAGCAAAACAATGAGAACTGAGTGCCATGAAACGATAATGGCCAAACTCGGCTCCCAAGGAGATATGAGAAGGTACATGTCTCCTTTCTTTGTAGAGATGGGTGATGATGGATATAGAACACTGCATATAATGTCAGATTTGGTGACTCTGTTGGTCAGTTTTACTGGACTGTTTTTCTTTCTCTGTTTTGTATTTACTGTTATAAAGGATGGCAGGGAAGAGATATTTTTGAAAATGTATGTTAAAAATGATATCAATAAAACATTTTTAAAAGAATTAGGGGTGTGAGAGATAAACATCCAAAATGGGGAGGATCTGGTTGCATCGTAAAGATGAAGGAGTTATGGTTACAAGAACTAGGAACAGGGAAGAAATTTACTGGACATGGAATAGGGTAATGTTAAGTGTCAGAAATCCACAGGTCTGGTCCTGCCTCTGGTAGGTGTGGACATGATTCCCTCAGTGATTATTAACGGGACATGAAAAATGGACTACAGCCAGACATGCCAAGGAGATGAATTCAACACAGTGGTCTGTGATCTTCTCTGGCCAAGCCCAGTTTCCAAAGAGAATATAAGCCTAGAGTTCTAGAGGGCAAGACTGAGAAGGATCTCTGTTCCTTTCTTTGCCAGTACCACTTCTCTAATCTCTCTGCACCCGCTTCCCCGATGGCTCAACGATCAGTCAGCATGAAGTCCACTAGTGGCAGCCGGAGCTTCAGCGCCTCTTCGGCATCACTGCTCCCAGGCTGTCGAACCAGCTTCAGCTCTGTGTCTGTGTCCCAGGGCGGGAAGAGCGGGAGTCGTCTTGGGGGTGGCTTTGGGACCAGGAGCCTCCACAACCTCATAGGTGGCAAAAGGATCTCCGTCAGTGGGGCGTACCGCTCCAGCAGAGCTGGGTATGGGGGTGTTAGTTGTGGTTTGGGATATGGGGGCATAGGATACAGAGCCGGGGGGTATGGGTTTGGAGGTGGAATGATGGCAGGATCTGGTGGCATCCATGAAGTTACAGTCAATCAGAGTCTACTGGCTCCCCTCAACCTGGAGATTGACCCATCCCTCCAGAGGGTTCGGAAGGAAGAGAAAGAGCAGATCAAGACTCTCAATAACAAATTTGCCTCCTTCATAGACAAGGTAAGAACTTGCTTCCCCTCGTAGGAAATTTCCTGGTGGTCTATTAGTTGACCTGTCATTTTTATGCTTTTACTGGGGGTAAAGGTTGGGAAGAGTGAGTAAGCAACTATGGCCTCAACCAAGAAGCTCTACTCCAAAGACATTTTACTTAGTGTTCTTCGGTCTTCCAACTGGTGGAGCAGAGGACGGAGAATATTTGGACTTCCATATTCACGAACAATGCTGCTAGGTCAGCGCTATGTTCAGAAAGCTCCCTGACCCATAACTAGGTCATTTCTTTCTCAATGAATGATGGCTGAGGATGAGATGGCTTTTTAACTGACAGGAACTCAGACCAGATGAAGCTAAAAAATAGAATGAAACAATTACAAACTTGGTCTAGGGTGAATATCTGCCAAAAGACAATGGGACATCTATCCAGCGATTCAAGAGGGATGTGGAGGGTGGAGGTAATCTATGCTTTTAGTCCTTTTTTCTTGGGGGAATAGCTGTTTTGAGCCCCAGACCACACTGGTTGGTTCCTTGGGCATTTCCTCTAGTTCCAATATATGATCATCTCACCTTCTATGTCTTCTCGCTTCCTTAGTCACCATTTAATACATGGGTTGAATGATCACCTTCTTATTCAAGAAATAATAGAGATAATGATCTGAATAATTCAGCTTTTCTAAACCTGTGGTGTGGCAGAAACTAGATTCGGGAAATCTGAGTTTTATTCTTCAACCTGCCTCTCTAGCCATGTGACCTTGAGAAATTCATTTCACTTACATTATCTCCAAGAATTCTTTCAGCTCTGGAAGTCAGTAATCCTATAAAATATTTGTGTCATTTGCCAGGGTCATTGTCTGGGCAAACTATGCCAGGGACATGGCCATAAAAGTGGTTCTTAAACTTTTTCATCTTGTGACAGTGCTCATCCCATCCTGCATTTTTTCTTTTGCTTCTACTTTCAGACTTCCATGGTATATGAGAAGAGGGGGTTAGTACTTTAGTTGATCTGGGGAGAAATCAGGGTGCGGTCATGTGATTCTATCATTATTTGATAACAAATAGACAATGGGGCATGTTAGATGTTATGGTAAGGAAAGAATAATGATTAGCAGCAAAATATAATGGAGAGACCCTTCATCAATAGACCCATGTTCTATTTTTTTTTGCTATCCTAACTAATTGTATGACCCTGCATAAGTCACTTCTCCACATTTGTGCCTCAGTATACTCATCTATAAAATGAGATGTTCAGAAGAAATGGCTTTCTAAGGCTCCTTTATCTTCTAATCATTTGAGTTTAAATGGAGGGAAAGTCCCATGCCAGGACTACCAAAAAGCCAATGGAGCCTCAGCCATTTTTGTCTCCTGGCCCACTCTCATTCCCACTATGCTCGGTTTGAGAAATGTTCTTTAGAGGTAAGGGTAATTAAAACCTATCTTTTAAACCTCCTTGGACAAGTCTTGAAAGATTGAATGATGCTAGAAGCCATTGCTTACTTTGCTTATTGATATTAGGATCTTGACTAAGTCTAGAAAACCAAATTAGAATCCTAGAATTTTAGAGCTGGCAGGGACCTAAGAGATCATCACATCCAATCCATTATTTGGCAGATGAGGAAACAAGCCATGAAGTGGCAGAGTCACTCACTAAAGGATATCCAGCTAGTTTCAGAAGGAAAACAGGTACTGGAACTCAATTCTCCTAGTTCAGAGTCCAGTGAGATTTCCAATGTATTTCTCCAAAGCTGTAACTAAGAATGTTGGTACCTAGAACAAATTGAGTTTCAGGAAGGAGAAAACCGCAGAGTCTGAGACTGTGCCCCTGAGAGGGTTGTAGTAGAAAGCAAATGAGCCTCTGGGAAATATAACTCAATTGAGGATGGAATTATAGGGGAAGGGATTATTCATTTTCTTCTCTTCAACCAGTCAGAGACTACATACTTACACTCCCTCAAAAGGACTGCCTTCCTTCTATCCAGCTTCTATGGGGGCCCAAACTACTCTGTCTCTTACGGATTGGTCAATAATCCATTGGCCTGGTCCCAGGCCAAGCTCTGCTTGGTCACTGTTTAGGTCCTGATTGGCTCAGAGTGAATGTAAATAGAAATTGTTTCTATTTTGGCCAGAAACCCTGAGGACCTTCCCCTCCCAGATTTTTTTTTTAACTAGATAAAGAGACCATTCTTAGCCTCATTTCTTACCTAGACTTAATCACTGAATGGGTGTTGCCTTAGTCAAACTGAGACTTGTTAAAGACCTTAGCTTAAAAAGGCCAAGGTCTTTCATTACATCCAGGGCCATCTCCAGCCCTCCTGATTGATATCTGGCCACTGGACCCAGATAGCTCTGGAGGAGAAAGTAAGTCTGGTGACTTTGCACATCCCTCCTTCACTTAAATCCAATTCACTTGCATGTCATGGCATCACCTCCCTGATGTCATAGTCCTCTTTGAGAACGAAAGACAAACAACAATGACAATGAGGGTCAACCATCAGAGAATTATGAGATGTGAAGTAAAAACTGTTCCCCCACCGAGGCAGGGAGAAAGCCTACATCCTACCCTCCAAGATTCTATCAGCTGGGGCAAAATCCCAGCTGATCAACCCTAGTTTTAGTTCTGTATCTCACTTCCTCATTTCAGCTTCCCTGAATTACAGGGAGAAGTGATTCCATGTAGATTGGGACAAAGCGTATGTAACTTGAATTAGATACAATTTGGGGGATAAACTTGGCACATTCTTCTTTCCTGTCAAGTGTCTTCTACTTATTTGGTGAGGATGATACATAAGCTGTGCTTCTTTTGGGTATTCCAAACAGTTTTGATTTCTTCTGTTTCTACTTCTCACATTCATAGTTTCACTTAAATAAAGGTTTCTCCTACTTCATCTCCCAAGTGGAATCACTACCAAAAAGCTGTTTGGAGCAGAGAGGAGGAGATCTGCTTCCTGATCTTCAGCATTTCCATTTTGCTGATAACATTAGACAATTTTTTTTAGTGCTCTAACCACCAAAGTGAGGTTGTTGTTTCTGAATGCTTAATGTTCTCTTTTCTCTGGGGAATACAGGTTCGCTTTCTGGAACAGCAGAACAAGGTCTTGGAGACCAAATGGAGCATCCTCCAGGACCATAAGACAACCAAAGCCAACATTGAGCCCCTGTTTGAAGCCTATATCAGCAACCTAAGGAGGCAGCTGGACAGCCTGGGTGGGGAAAGAGGGAGGCTAGAAATGGAACTGAAGAGCATGCAGGATGTGGTGGAAGACTTCAAGAACAAGTGAGTGTGAAAAGAACACAAGCCACAAGTTCATTCATCTCCTTGTCCTGAGCACTTCTTTTGCCCAGTAAATTCTGGGTATTTCAGAGGAGACCCAGAGCTAGAAGATACAGCCCCTGCCCTCAGGGATTGCCCAGCCATATGGGAGAGGGCAGAGACACTCCAGAAAAACAATAGAACAGATTCAGGAAGCTGGACTGAGTTCTCGACAGGTGTCATTAGGGAGGGGAAAGAAATTGAAATTGGTTCAGAATAACATGATTACACAATTCCTATGCATTTGCCCCAACCCCAAATGCCTTACGAAACCAGCTTCATTGCATTGGTAATACAGCTACTGTTCATAGAATCCGGCTTTAGGGAGCATGGAATAAGAGAAGGTGAAGATGACAGTCACTGCTTTCAGGTAACTCTCAGTTTGATGAGGGAAATGACATACACCTAGAATGCACATATGCACAACACACTCAGAAGCAAAGGTTGAAAACAGTATAGTGTACCCCAATATATTCATGGCCATAATGACAGGGAATTATCTTATTTTGTTTTAATTATCTTTTTAATCATAACAATATTTGGAGAAAGGACATTATAATGTCGGGTCTGAAGTCAGAAAAGAACCGGGTTCAACCCAATTTCCACATTGGAAACAAACTGGACAAGTCATTTAATTTCTATGTGCCCGCATTCTTTGCATGGTGATCTAATAATTTTGGAACCATAAAATGCAATATAAATATGTGAGTAATTATTAAAAGTTGTTTTTTTAAAAAATCTGTGGCTCATAGCTCATATGTGAAATATATAAAATAGCCAATGTTATTTTTCATTCATCAAATTAAATAATCAAACAAATATTTATTAATGATTTTAATAATACTATACATTCATATATATATATATATATATCACCTTACGGTTACAAAATGCTTTGAATATATTATATCATTTGATACTTGTCTTCAAGTATTTGAAGGTGTGTCATATAGAGGAAAGATTAGACTTATTATGTTTGGCCCCAGGACAAAGGACCAGAAGCAGTTAATTGGTGGAATAATTAAAGATGTTAATTAAGTCTTGATTTCTGTTGGGAAAAACTTTTCTCAATAATTAGGTGTGTCCTAAAGCAGAATAAGTTTCCTTGAGAGGTGATGGATTTTTGGGAAGTCTTCGAACAGAAGCTGTTTGATATGTTAAAGTAGGGATTCCTTTTAAGTGTGGGATTGGATTCAATGGTTGCTGAGGGCCTTTATGACTCTCAGAGGCAGTTTTTCTCTGATCTTGCAATAACTTATAAGGTGGAAGGGCAAATATTCCCTTCAAATAATATTCCCATTTTATAAGTAAATAAAGGGAGGCTGAGAGAGACAGAGACACAGAGACAAATGGAGACACAGAGAGACACAGAGACAGAGACAGACAGAGACACAGAGAGATTTGTACTAAGAAGACACTGAATAATGGGTCTCAGATGTATCCTGCTTGTAGATCAGATTAGGGGTGAGGGGAAAAACAGTTAAGTGGGAATGGGTGAGGAGAGCATTTTGGATCACTGAATTAATCTAGGAGCAGCTGGATAGAGGTCTAGACAGACATCTAGAGGTCCTAAGGTCAGAAAATAAGGGTTTTGTGCAGGATAGGGGAGCAGATTGCCTTGGGGCAGTGGAGAGTAAGAAGGGAGGCAATATAATATTGTGGAAAGATTACTACATTTAGATTTAAGATCTGGGTCTGAATTCCAGTTCTGCCACTCACTTACTGCATGACTCTGATGATTTCAACTCTTCAGGACCTTAGTTTTCCCGTCTATAAAATGCGGGATATAGAGTGGATGATCTAAGGGCCATTCCAACTCTCCACCCTAGGATCCTGGAAGATCCTCTGTTAATGGATGGGAAATAAGCCATAGACAATCCCAAAGAGAGGGTTTTCCAAAAGTCATTTCTGTTGACCTTTGGCATAAATTACAGATTTATCTTCCTAATTTTGCTCACTTTAGCCCCACCAATGTTAGATCTAGAAAGCACTTTTGGAATTTGTCTACTCCAACCCACTGATTTTACAAAGAAGGAAACTGAGGAGCAGAAAAATGAAGTGACCCGTCCCAAATCCCACAGCTGCCAGGTTCAGGGCAGGAAAGACACCTTGTCACTTTACTGTGAGATCCAAACTAAAATGAAAGCTCATTCCCTGAGGTGACCGCGCTTAGGGGTTGGAAACCAAACCCTAGAGCAGGTTTAAAGGCAGTGGAAAGCTTGTCTGGCATTAAATATTGGCCATTTGATAATCTGCAAAGAAGATCCCCTAATGCCAAAGGATAATCTAGAAGTGATACCCTATTTTTTGCAGGTTTGAGTTAAAAAATGTCAAATTTTTTTACTTTCTTCTCTGGCAACTTGTTGGGGGTTGTGGGCTAGAGTGGGGCTAGGGTGTGTGGGGCAGAGAGCAAACAAGGAAGAATTCTGTGGGGCCCATCCCAGCTCTAAATTCCAAAGATCCTGAGTTTAAACTGAAACATGATGACAGACAAGAGCCATTGGAAGAAAGGTGCTGGGTAGAGCAACCTTGAAAGTTTAGATGAGGATTTTGGAATTGGTGGAGAGGTTTGATGGGGAAATAAACAAAGAATGTGAACCAACAAACCCAATGAAGAAAGTACAGGGAGGTGCTTCATTAAGTCCTGAAGTCTGAGATAGCATGAACTGATTGCTGAACATGCACTTAAAAAAAAAAATCAGGCTGGGGGTCAGAGTGTATCAGGAGAGATACAAGCTAGACAAGAAGACAGACATCTTAGCTTTCGGTGGGTGTTGGGACACAGTAGAGTGACTGGAAACTTCTTTCCTAAAGATCCAGAATAGCTTTCTATTTGTCCCTGGGTTAGAAAAAGTGCCTAAAGTCAGAGGGAGAGCCCAGATGATTAACCTTTAGGGTAAAGTATTTAATCACCCTTGAGTCACAGTTTGAAGTCAGACACCTTAAAGGTAGGTCAACTCTTCACTCGTTTAACATATGAGGAAACTGAAGTTCAGAGATATTAAATGATTTGCCTAAAGTTACACAGGGCATAAGTGGCTGAGATTTGAGCCTGAGTTTTCTCTCTCTCTACATTCAGCATTCTTTCTGCTGCATAACTTTCCCTCCTTAATTCCACCAAGTGATTTTGAGGAAGTGAATGAACTCATAGGAAGTCTCCACCTTGCCCTGAGAGGAGCCAGGAACTCATTAGATCCTTGTGTGGCTCTCAGGGAAGATGGAAGAAAGGGAGAAAACAATGCCTCTCTGCACCCTCTGTTGTTCACTTTCTTGCCTCAGGTGGAGGAGGTAGAGGGGTGGTCCCTGGACTCATTCCACAAAGATGTGGTAAAGTGACTGGGAGCCAGGGGACAGGTAATTCATCTTGTGGGATCCTGGAAGGCTGCCCAGAGCCATGCATCTCAGTAAGAAAAAACAATATAATTAATCTTTCTGACATCTCCCAGTAAGAGGGAACAAAAAGGGGGATCTTCTTACCTCCCCCATGTTAGAAGGAAGGAAACTAACCCAGAGACATTACATGACATTACAAATGTTTGATGTCACAGAAAATCAGGGTGGAGTGAGAATTAAAGTCTGGTTTCTCTGGTCCAGAACAATGGGGTTTGCTGGCTGTGGTGTAATCTCCTCTCCACCTCCCTCTGCCTTTTAAATTTTTTTTCTTATCAAGAGGCCTCCTCTGCCTTAATGTGGCTTAATATCATGGAGCTTTACCAAGTTGTTTTGACACAGCCATCTCATCCTACTCACCTGAAAAGCTTAGTCCTGCTATTCTTTACATTGTCTCTCCCTGATCTGTTCTCCACATCAGTTGTTTTTCTAATGAGCTGTTTCAGATTCTCTTCTATTTTTTCTAGTTTTAATATTTCTTGGTGTCTTATAATGTCATTTGATTCCTCTAGCCTAATTCTAGTTTTCAAGGAGTTATTTTATTCCTTAAGATTTTGTACCTCTTTTTCCAATTGGTTAACTTTCTTTTCATAATTTTCTGGGATGGCTTTTATTTTTTTTTCTAATTTTCCCTCAGTTTCTCTTATTTAAGTTTTTAATTCCTTTTTTAAGTTCTTCCTAGAGCTTTTTTTGGGCTTGTGACCATTTGACATTACTCTTTGGGGTAGGAGTGGCTTTTTTTTAACCTCACTATCTTCCTCTGAATATGAACCCAGATCTTCTTTTACATCAAAATCTATGGTCAGATTCTTTTTCCTTTGCTTGCCCATTTTTATTTTGTTTTATTTTATTTTAGCAGCTTATTATTATAATTAAGTTTTAATCTTGTGTTATGGGTAATGTTGCCCTAGGCCTCAGGTCCTCCTTAATGTTATTTTCTGAATTCTGCCTGGGGACTGATAACTTTATTACATATTTAAAAGGAATAGCAAGTTGTACATAATAGATTTACAATTTTGTGTGCAATCATCTTTTGTATTATTATGTTATGGAAATATTTAAGAACAAATTAAATAATTCTTTTAAAAAGAAAAGTATCTTTTTTCTTATGCTCAGATTCTCTGATCTTAATGCAGCTTAACATCTGGTTCATTCCCACAGATATGAAGATGAAATCAACAGACGCACAGCAGCAGAGAATGAGTTTGTGGTGCTCAAGAAGGTGAAGGGGGAGAGAAAGATGCTCTAATATTGACTCTGGTCTGCCTAACATTATTCCCATAGAGTGCAAAATATCCAGTTAGCTCAGATTTTTCTAAGGTGGAACAAGGGAGAAAACTTTAGATCTGACTCCACAGTGCTGGGGCACTGGAGAGGAAGGAGAGAGGCTTTTGGTTTGATGGGGGAAAGAGAGCACCCGCCCAGGGCACAAAGAGTAGAGGCAAGGGTAGAAGCAGAAGCAAAAGCAGATGGGTAATGCTCTGTTACAGTAGTGCTGGGAGGAGCAAAATGGGCTGTGAAGAAGCAAAGGCTGGAGGCTTGGTCTTAAAGATGGAATTGTGTGACAGCATTGTGAAGAAGAGGAAGGAGGTCATGTAATAAGGACACTAGCCTATGAGAGGGTCTCAGAGGCCAGAGAGGTCAAGGTGTTTGGGAATGGAGACCTTAATCTTTTTTTGTTCCATGGACCATTTTGACAGTCTGGTGAAGGCTGCATACCCCTTCTCAGAATCATGTATTTAAATAATTAAAGGGAATTCTAATTTCAATTAGAGGTTAATGAAAATAAAGATGTAATTTTTTTCCCTTCTAAGTTCATGGATACCTTGCCCCCAAGTTAAGAATCTCTTGATTTAGAGAGAACACCACTGCTAATAAATGTCTAATAAACTTGGCTTTTTTTGAGGTAGAACAGAGAAGGGAATTTTACATCCCACACATCCTAACCCCTTAGGGACCCCAAAGTGATATCACCCAAATCCCTAAGTTATACCCTATTGCCTGGCATTTGAGAACTTACTCACCCAGTTGAGTAGAAGTAGTTCAACAGGACTTGTGGGCCTGATGGAGAAATTAAAATCTGGAAAGGATAAGAATTAGAATAATTTTTCCGATTTTGCATTTCAGGATGTGGATGCAGCTTACATGAACAAAGTGGAACTGGAAGCCAAGGTTGATGCCCTGACAGATGAAATCAACTTTCTGAGGGCTTTCTATGAGGCGGTAAGGAGGGCCTTAGTCCTTTCCCTCCATCCCTCTCCCCTTTCATTTCACTCCCATCTATCTCTTGGAACTATTTGCCAGCTTGACTCATGGGATATGGAAGAGACCACCTCCTCTCCTTCCCCTTTGAGCCTTGTTTGAGACCACCATATTCTTCATTCACAGATTCATTCTTCCTATCAGGGAAGGTCTTTTTAAAAGGTAGAGAGGAAAGTAGACTCATGGTTGCTGGTCATTCTCCTAAGTTTACAACTCTGCTTCCAAATTGGAGGACATTGCAAGGTCTGGGGAAGCCAACTTGTGCCCCCTGATATGGTGATTTCATTCCCTCTGCCATCCATGGCTGTGATTTAAGAAGTTTGGAGTGGGGAGCCACAACTAATCATTGGTATCAATCTACAGTGAGGAAGGAAAGTACTTAGGGAAGGGGGCGGGGCGTGACAGATTGAGGCTGAGAAATTTGGAAAATAACCAGGACCAAGGCTGCTCTTTCCTTTTCTTCCAACCTGTTATATTTTGTGTTCTTCAAATGTCCTTATAGGCATAGACAAGCCTGAGGAGATGAGGAATGGGTGTGTACCAGTGAGAACAGATTATTTCTTTTAAATTTAAATTTTAACTAATGTTTTATTTTATATCACTTTCATTTTCTATATATCCTTCTCCCTCTCTCTCCCAGAAAGTCATCCCTTGAAACAAAAATTTAAAAAAGGAATAAAAAAGTTCAGCAGAACTTCCCAAAATACAATTGCTTGTGGTATTCCACACCCACTTCTGCAATGAAGGGAGGGAAGTACATTCTTATAACTCTTCTTTGGGTCCAAGCTTGATCGTTATCATTTCACATCATTCAATTTCTAGTTATTGTTTTCACTGTTTTTGTGAGAGCAGATAGTTTTATATATGATGTTGTCCAATTCATTTAAACCCACCAAAGATAGTGTTCCCTGAATCTGCAGGGCAATCCAAGTACATCAACTAGAAAATAATAGTTCATGCTTCTGGATACAAGCAACATACTTGTTGCTTAGTTGTGCTGGTAGAGGATTAGGGTCAGTAATCAATTAACAAGCCAACTATTCAAAGAAATTTAGGTGATGTGATTAATAATAACATCCATTTATATGGAATTTTGGACTGCAAAATACCTTTCTACATCATCTCATTTGTCAAAGCTTCATGTGTTGGGTAGTGTAAATATTACTGCAGGTAAGGGAACAGTTTCAAAGTGGTTAAGTGACTTGCCCAAAGAAATATATTAAGTAAATGGTACTTAAGTGGAACACAAATGGAAGTTACTGCTAGTCCAGTATTCTTTCTACCATTTTGTGGCTCAAGGAAAGGAGATAAAACTGCAATTCCTAGTAGAAGTTGATTAGGCTGTCTTTGCATCACAGAATAGTGTTAATGGTTGTTGCTATTATTACCTTACTCTGCTGGATGATTCTTCTGCTTCCTGCTGACTCTTGCTGTGAATAAAGCCAAGGTCTGGCAAGTCAGCTTAGGAGAGCTACCAGAAAAGAGCGAACTAAAATCTTTGATTTCCTATCCTAAGACATATATGAGGCAGATGGTCATCAACATTAGAGAGAGAAGAGGAGGCTTTACCTAGACTGGTGTTTTGCAACTGAGTGAGAAGTGACTTTTCCTACCTCTGAACCACTCTTGTCTGTACTTATTGTATTCCCACCTTATGGTCCAGTTGCTTGTGTGCTTGCTATCTCCCTTGCTAAATGGTAGAATCCTTGATGTTTTCTGTCTTATTCACCTTGTACAAACTATAGGGCTTTGAAATTTGCTCAATCAATGTTTTTGAATAAATCAACAACTACTCTTGCAAAAATCCATCTTACATAAGGACAGAAGTACATTTCAAAAACAAATGGGAATTTCTTTTAGAAAATCCATTTAGGATTATGCATATTATTGCTCCTTCCCATTAGCACAGATAAAAGAATCTGGTTATAATTCTGTTCATGTAGGATCATGGATTTAAGTTGAAAAGAACACTTATAGGTTATCTAGTCCAAAACCTTCATTTTATGAAAGAGAAAAACATGTTGTGAGGTGACTTGTCCAAGGTCACCCTATAAGTGGCAGAGTCAGGGTTTAAAACCTAGGTCCTCTGATTCCTTTCAGCTAAAGAGGCAGCTATCAGGTACAATACATTGAAGGTTCTCATTCAATAGTAGGTGCTATCCTAAAAGCTAAGACACAGTCCTGCAGTGTCTCATCCTCTAAGGAGTTTGAGAAAATCTCTGTCTCTCTATTTCTTTGCTTTGCTCTTTCTTCTTTCTCTTTTTCCTCTCCATCTTTCTCTCTTCTCTCTTTTCCCTTCTTTGTGTCTCTGTCCGATTCTCTCTTACACACACACACACACACATACACACACACACACACACACACACACACACACACAGAGTCCTCAATTCCCATATTTCTATACTTGGGTTCAATCACAGGAGCTGGCTCAGCTTCAGGCCCAGATCTCTGAAACGTCAGTGGTCCTGTCTATGGATAACAACCGCAACCTAGACCTGGACAGCATCATTGCTGAGGTCAAAGCTCAATATGAGGACATCGCCAACCGAAGCCGGGCTGAAGCAGAGTCCTGGTACCAGTCAAAGGTGAGGAGTTAAAGAAGAAGTAGGTTGGAGGCAGAATTAGCCACTATCTAACTCATTCCTTGGTTTTAAATTTCCACTGTGGGTAGTAGAATCTACTTCTGGGAACTTGGGAGAGATAGAGGGGATGCAAAAAGGAGAGAGTTACTCCCTTAGGGGATCTCTCATTCTGTTAAAGGAGAAGGGATACATGCTGAAGACATAGAGACAGAGAAGTGAGGTCAAGGAGATGAGAAGTGACTGAACTTAGCTCTAGATGTCAATGTTGGTGGATGGAAAGGGGAGAAATAAATGAAAGAGTTAGGCTTCCCAAAGAGAAAAAGAATGTGGAGTAAGGTTTTAATGTAGAGGGGAGTCAGGGCTAAATGGAAAAGGCAAATGTGCATCCTACATGGAAAAGAGAATATCGTGGGTAAATTTTTGATGTGGCAGGACAACAACCAGATTTGACCAACTAGAGCAGAAATTCTAAACCAGGGAGGCTTAGGAGATGGTGAGGGCAGGTATGAGGGGTTACCATAAAGACCAGGGAAAGGATTTTGAGTCTGCTATCATAGACAACAGAAAGCAGTTATGTGGTCTTGAGCCTGGAAGGGATGGGGATTAAGAGGGTACCTAGAGAAGATGGTAGAACCATAATTCTGGAGCAAAAGACTGATCATCAGGAAATAAGTGAGGATGTTACTGTGGCAGTCTAAATGAGAGCAGTAGTTGTAGAAATGGACAGAAAGGAAAAGGGATAAGAAATAGTACAGTAATGCTGCAAGATTTGGTGATGGTCTGGGTAAAGGAAATATAAAATGGACTAATCACCAATATGACAATTCACAGACTTTTGGGGTACCAGAAAACCTCAAGATTCTTATTTCTAGTCTCAGTTGTTCCTGTTTCTTTAATACAACCAAAATTTGGAGTTTGCTTTTTTTTTCTTCACAGTATGAGGAACTGCAGCTTTCTGCTGGTAGACATGGGGATGACCTCCGTACCACCAGAATGGAGATCTCTGAATTGAATAGGATGATCCAGAGGCTGCGTTCTGAGATTGACAATTTGAAGAAGCAGGTATGGTGAGGCTTATAGGAGACACCTTAGCCGTTATCCTGACTTCTAAAATACCTGCTCCTAACCAAATCAGGACTTGAAAACCTCTCAGAAATAGGATCCTATAATTTCAATTCCATAATTTCCCTCCACAACCTGGGATATCAAGATATTCTTCCTGAGATTAAATAAGTAGGTGGCATGATGGGTGGAATGCTGGACTTGTAGTCAGGAAGACCTGAATTCAAATCTGCCTCAGACACTTACTTTGTTCTGTGATCCTGGGCAAGTCACTTAACAGCTCAGTGCCTGTTTCCCCATCTGTGAAATGGGAATAATAATATCTTCCAGAGTTATTGTGAGTAAATGAAATAACATATGTAAAACACCTTGCAACCATTAAAACACTATATAAATGCTACTTATTATATCATTATTATTATTATTATTAACCTCAATTCCTCCTGCTATACAGGGAAAGCTGGCTACCTTTTCAGGTTCAACAAGTTACAGTGTAAGCCACAGATTAGTTGCTTTCTTATGTATTATCCAGAGAATCCCAGAGGAATACAGGATGCTCAAAAGCAATGAATTGCCTTCCACCACATCAATACCTAAACATTCAGGTTGATGCTGTCACTCTGACTTTCTCAGGATTGGAGAAGCCGTGACTTCCTTTGAGTTGATGCCCAATGTCAGGAAGCTCTTCCTGGGGTCTAGCCTAAATCTGTCTCATTATAATGCTATTTTATATCACAACCTTATTCAGTTTTAGAACTAGAAGAAACTTTAAGATTATTTAATTTAGCCCACTCATTTTACAAGTCCAGAAACTGAGACCTGGAGAACAAAAACATTTGTAAGACCGCATGGCTAATTAGAGGTGGAGCTCATCCTTAATATTCTTCTGTGAAGTGTGGCATTTTTAAAAAAAAATCACATCATCTTCTCCCACAGTGTGCCACTCTTCAGGCTGCCATTGCTGATGCTGAGCAGCGTGGGGAATTGGCCCTCAAGGATGCCCGGGCCAAGCTGGCTGAGCTGGAGGATGCCCTGCAGAAGGCCAAACAGGACATGGCCCGCCAGCTGCGCGAATACCAGGAGCTAATGAATGTCAAGCTGTCCCTGGACATCGAGATTGCCACCTACAGGAAGTTGCTGGAGGGAGAGGAGTGCAGGTGGGTAATCAACTCTCCCTATCCCATAACCTAAACAGCAGCATCATCATCATAGTATCATAATTCTACAATAAGGCTAAACAACCCCCAACAACATTAAGCAATTTATTTGAATTTTCAGAAACCAAATCAACCAATCAATAAACATTTATTAGGTACCTTCAAAAAAAGAGGCAAAAGAAAGTACCTGTCCTCAAGGAACTTATAATCTCATAGGAGAGACAACATGCAAACAAATATATACAAAGTAAGCTATATACAAGATAAATAGGAAATAGTTAACAGAAGGAAGACATTAGAATTAAGGGAGATTGGGGAAGGTTTCCAGTAGAAAGTGGGATTTTAGTTAGGAAGCTAGGGAAGTGAATAGTCAGAGAGGAGGTGAGAGTGTTCCAGGCATGTAGGACAGCTAGAGAAAATGCCTAGAGATGAGAGGTGGAGTGTTTTGGATAAAGGCATTGCTGCTCCTTTCCTATCCCTAGAACAGTATCCGTCATTCCCTGGGGAAGTGTCCATGGCCCTTTTTGAAGTAGTTTAATCTAGCCCACTTATTTTACAGATCCATAAACTGAAACCTGGAGAACATTTGTAAGACCACACGGCTAATTAGAGGCAGAGCTAATCCCTTAATAATCTTCTGTGAACTTAGGCATTTTTTTAAACATCACGTCATCTTCTCCTGGCTGCCAAACCCTCAGCTCATTTTAATTACAGGGTCCTAAAACCATATTCAGAAGAATTGTTTGCTCATGATCATTCATGACATTCCAGACATAATTGTGTGGCTCTTGGACATTCTTACATTGGCCCTCAAGAGTATCCCTTGTTACATGTTTGAGGGAATCCATACTGTACCCCAAGCTCCCTCTTTGAAATAGTGCCTAGCTTTGGAGGGTGATCTGTGTCATTATTCTTACTATCCATTCAGGGAAGGACCTACGCTACCTGGAGTTACCTCACAACTTGTAACTCTCACTGCCTGGACCTTTAAGGGCCATTTCTTTTTCTCAGTCTGTCTCTATCTCTATCTCTGTCTCTATCTTGCTCTATTTTTCACTTTCATCCTTGTTTCCTCTTATTCTTTATGTTCTCTCTGTCCCTCTCCCCTTATTTTTTCTTTCCCCCCGTCTCCACTTCTTCAGTTCCTCTATTTTTCCCTCTTTGCCCTGTTTCTTTTTATGTGGGATAATCTATACACTTCAGTGTTCTTCTCTCTGTATATTCTCACAGTCACATGAAAGAAAAAGGAAGATAAAGTCACTCAATTTCTCAATTAAACAGAATGTCTCTCTTCTTCTCCCGACAGACTTACTGGAGAGGGTGTTGGACCTGTGAATATATGTGAGTAATAACTCGAAGACACTATTGAACAGTGGGTGACATGGGAAGGGGAACGTAGTATATGCAGTCCCCAGTGGGCTAGAGAAGGCTCTTTGTCAACAGGTGAGATGGACATCCCTCTGAAAAAAATTTCCTGCAAAGATGCCACTTCTTCAGGAACTTCTTCCCAATCAGACAAAGAAATGTTGAGGATTCTAGGCCAGTGAAAAAATGAGAATGTACGTCCTTTATTTAGAAATTTGCAGCAGTATAGGATGGAAACTTGGCTTGGTAGCCTAATATGCGAAAAAGATGATGGCTTAGAATGACCAACTATCATCAAATATGAACCCAAAGTGTAATTATTTGTTGTTGTTGTTGTTTTAGTCATTTTAGTTGCATCTGACTCTTCATGACCCCATTTGGTGTTTACTTGGCAAAAATACTGGAGTGGTTTGCCATTTCCTTCTCCAGCTCATTTTACAGATGAGGAAACTGAGCAAACAGGGTTAAGTGACTTGTCCAGGGTCCACTCAGCTAGTACATGTCTGAAGCCCACTGTGCCATCTAGCTGACCAAGAGTGTGATGCAATTGCTAAGGACAAGATAAAGGGAATTCCTCAAGGGGTGACATTCCATACTACTAATGAGGTTATGGAGAGTTGGACATGACTGAACAACAACAACAAGAGATGAGTTGGAAGTAGGGAAAAGTGAACCCTCTTCTTTGTGGAAGATCTACCAAAGTACTCAGGTTATTCTCAAGTAGAGGTCCCAACACCTAATGAGGTCATCCTGGCAATAGTGAATTCTCCCCCAAATTGGTGTATTTTGGCAGATTAACAAATGGAGATTAATCTGAAGGCAAGTGGTTCCTTATATAGGCGTGAGTTAGAGCCTGGATGATCGGTCCTTCATCCCCGCTCTGGCTGAAACCCCGAGTCCAAATCATTAAGGTGAAATTCAATGAGAATGTATGTCCTTTATTTAGAAATTTGCAGCAGTATAGGATGGAAACTTGGCTTGGTAGCCTAATATGAGAAAAAGATGATGACTTAGAATGACCAACTATCATCAAATATGAACCCAAAGTGTAATTATTTGTTGTTGTTTTTTTAGTCATTTTAGTTGCATCTGACTCTTCATGACCCCATTTGGTGTTTACTTGGCAAAAATACTGGAGTGGTTTGCCATTTCCTTCTCCAGCTCATTTTACAGATGAGGAAACTGAGGCAAACAGGGTTAAGTGACTTGTCCAGGGTCCACTCAGCTAGTAAATGTTTGAAGCCCACTGTGCCATCTAGCTGATCAAGAGTGTGATGCAATTGCTAAGAACAAGACAAAGGGAAAAAACCCAGGAGCCAACATAATCTTAGGTTATGTTATAATAATACTAGTAGGTGATAATGTAGCACTTTGAAATTCATTAAGTACTTTACACACATCATCCAATGTGAGCATTGCAATAACCCTGTGAGATAAGAACTATAAAGTATTACTATCCTTTTCATACTCTAAAGCCAGAGAGGTTGAGTGACTTGTTAGTGTCACACCATTAATGAGGGTCAGAATTAGAAGTAAAGCTTAAGTGTCACTTATTGTGGTTCCTGCTTTTCCTAGATCAGACCATGTCTACGGTATTCTGTAAATATATTCTGTTCTGGCCATCGTGCTTTAAGAGGGAAGATGGCTAAGTAAGTTAGCGAGGAGTATGGAAAGCATGTTGTTATGAGGAATGATTGAACGAACATGGGGCATTTTGCCTCAAGAAGACAAGCCTTAGAGAAAGACCCAATCTCTTTTTTAAAGGATTTTTCACATTGAAGAGGGAGAAGATGTGTCCTGGTTTGTTCCAGAAGGCAAAACTATGACCTAAGCATGGAAGTTATGGGGAGACAGATTTCAGCTAATAGAATAAAGAAACATTTAATTATTATTAGAGCTACTTAGAGAGGTTGCATGATGTAATGTATTAAAATCCAACCTTGGAGTCAGGAAGACATGGGTTCAAATCTAATTTCAGACATTAGCAGTGTGACCTTGGGCAAGTCACTTAACCTCTATCTGCCTCTGTTTCCTCATCTGTAAAATGGAGGTAATAACAATACCTACCTCCCAGGGTTGTGAGCCTCAAATAAGGTAATGTGTATAAAGCACTTTGTAAAGCTTAAATATATATATATATATGTATATACATATATAAGCTTAAATATAGAAATACTATTATATTGTTGTTATTATTAGTATTGTTGATCTCTCTCAACCTTTAAAATGGGAATAATAATATTGCCCTGCCTACCCCATGAGGTTATTGCATGAAATGCTAAATGTGAAAGCATGTTGAGAATTGTAAATCACCATACAAAGGTCAGGCATTAGCATCACCTGGCTGTACCCACGTTCTCTCAATGCCTCTGTGTCAGGGAAAATTTGAATAGTCTATTGAAACACTTAGGAGAGAGGTACCAATGAAAAGGATTTGAGATTAGCAGAAAAAAAAAGCAGTAACTAGGAGACACTGTGAGGCCTGAGATGCTGTCATATTTGTTATGCAAATGAGATGTGAATATGTATGCAAACGAGAGGCTTTTTCTTGTCTTTTTCTCCCCACAGCTGTGGTCACTTCTAGCGGGGGCACTGGATATGGTGGAAGCAGCGGCATCTGTGTGGGCGGAGGCGGCCTCAGCAGCAGCCTGTGCTACGGAAGTGGGGTTGGAGGCTTCAGCTCCACCAGCGGCCGCAGCATGGGGAGCAGCAGCTCCAGCATGCGCATCATCTCCAAGACATCATCCACTAAGAAAAGCTATCGGAGCTAAAACTTCTCTACTTAACTGCCCACCCTTCCCCAACCCAGCTTCCCAACCCCAAGGCCTGATACTCTGCTAAGGACCCAGAAAGAAATTTCTTTTGTACAGTCAGACATGTAACAGAGGGTTCATAGGTCTTCCAAGGCTATCTTGTGCATCCTTTTGCTTCCATTCCTCAGATGAAGAATGGTGCTTGTTTTCAAAGTCCTCCTGAGTCCAAAAGTGCCTCCCTTAGGGTTTTCATGATTAAGAAGTTCTACTTTATATCTATCCTGAAGCTGTCATGTTGTATTTCCTGAAATCACTTCTCCTTGTTTCTAGAGGGGGGAGTGTTAGAAATTGCCCTTGTTTCTCCATTTCTGGGTCTCAGTAAGAATTGATATCCTTTGGATTAGGGCTTTTATACTGTTTGACCTTCACTACAAAGTAAGCAAAATTCAGCAAATTCTCTCAGAGCAGAAAAAAACAAAACAAAAAGAAAAACAGATGGCAGGGTGCTTTATACCCAGATTCATCACCAAACCTCTCCTTCTTTGCCCCAAGCCCATCACCGTCAGTGTCCATTGACCCAGATTCCAACAGCCATAAGAAACCTACACTCCCCCGGTTCCTCTCTTCCACCAGTTTTCCACCTCCAAAAGCGGGATTTTGGAATATAGTCAGTTTTCAATTATCCACACTAATAAAAAGATAATCTGACAATTTTGCCTGAATGTCTGGAGGGCAGTAAATGCTATTTCAAAGCAGACTCCATATCCTACTTTTATTTATCCTTAAGCTAATATTATAACTGATTTATCTTGTGAAATATTAATCGATGAGGGTCAAATACCTCCAGGGACTGCTAGTCTTGTATGAAACATTTGATAATACATAAATGGAGAATCAAATTGTCATGTATTAGGGGTCTTCCTGTTTACACCATCACCACCACCTCCCCTCGCCTTACAATCTGATCCTCCAGTAATAAGGTTTGGGGCTAATGATTTCTGTTCTTTAGACAGTTTTCTTTCCCTCTTTAAATTCCTTCTCTCTCTCTCTCTCTCTCTCTCTCTCTCTCTCTGTTTCTGTCTCTGTCTGTCTCCCTCTCTGTCTCTCTCCATCTGTTGGTCTTTCTTTCTCTCTCTTGTATTTTCTTCCCATTCTTTCCCTAACTCAACTTCTATCTAGATCTTCAATCCCCTTTCTCTCCCTTCTTCTCTACTTTTGTCTACCTCCTTCCATCCTCTTTCTCATTCTGTTTGAAAGTTTGACTTCTATTTCCCTCTGTGTCCTGCTTGTCTCTCTTCTTCTCTAATTTGTTCCTGGATGACAACTCTTTTGCTTATTTAATCCTTTTGTTGGTATCACCACTATCTCTATTGACTTGGACTTTGAGATGCAACCCACAACCCAACACCAGCCAAACTAGAAGGATTTTGAAACAAATACACCAACTTACTCACCCCACAAGGAAGGTATGGTCCCAAAAAGACAACAGACTTAGGACTCAGCATAGGCTGGTGCTGGGCATCACTGAAAGGTGATGCTGGCCACTTCTTATCCCTCACAAGAAATTGGAATTTAGGAAGGGCAGAGAGGAGAGAAGATTGGGAAAGTAGGACTACTTCCTACCCCTTTCTGTGATTGGTGGTCATAGTGAAACTTTGTTAGTTTGCATTGTGAATTCCCAAAGCATCGGACATCACCTTTGTCCAAGACCAAAACAAGATGGTTATAATTCTTAAGACCAACAGAAAGAACTTGAGTATTTCTGCATGTTTCCTGTTCCTCCACTAATATAGATTCCAGAAGTGACTGTTAACAGAAAAAAGCCCCCCTTGTTTCAGGTCCTTCTCCTGTACCCCTCCTCCAGGTCCATTTGCTCAAAGAGCTTGAATAAAAGGCAGTCAAACTGTCTGGTCTAGACTGATTTTTGTTGTCGTGTGCTCTGATGATAGACAGACAATCTGGAGTCCATCTCCTAAGTAAGGCTCCAGACTTAGATACCTCTTATGACTTTTGCTATCTTACCTCCCTATGTCTGCCAGTATTGGACTGGGTCCCCCTGTGTTGGGGAGGGACAGCCTCCTTTCTTAGCTCAGATAGCTTATCTCCTGTTACTCAAGATCTCTGGTGATTCTCATCTTTGCATTTCCTCCCAGTACCTAACCTCATTTCCTCCTGTTGTAAAAGGACCCTATATATTTTTTTTCAAAAAATGCTTTAAAATCTATTCTTTATTAAGCACCTTTGAAGTGACTCGGAGCTCTTCAGAACTTTTAAGTCCCTCTGATTGGACTTATTGCACTATTCTTGGTACCCACTACACCCACTTCTGTGGCATTTACTTGGATAGAGGCAGGTTCCTTCCCATTCTGTGGAAGAATGATCCCTCATCTTGTATGTCCCTCAGTCACTATCCGAACTCCTGTGATGCCTTTAAGCCTGGCTGTGCATCTCTCTCCACTAATTGTGGTTGGGTATCCAAGCTATTAAAAATATGTGATTAATTTTAGAGTTGGAATGGACCAGCTATCATTTCACAGATGAGGAAACTGAGGCCCCAGAAATGTAAAGTCACTTGCCCAAAGTCACGTGGGCTACTGTAGCAAGGGCAAGATTCCAACCTGGTTCTTTTGACTCCGGATCCAATGAACTTTCCTCTACACAACTGTTAAATTTCCATGGCTTTCTCCCAGAAAGAATCCAAGGAGTCTTCACCTGAATAGGCAGAAGGAGATAATTTTCCTCATTTAACATAAGAGAAAACTGAGGTTTAGCCCAAAGAGGTTAGGAAACTTATCCAAGGCCACTAACCCAGTGATTAGCAGATCCAGGACTAGGAGCTACGTATCCTGACTTCTAGCCCAGGGCCCTTTCCATGACACTACCTTGGGAGAGAAAGTCATTGTTGTTTTGTGGTTGTTAGTAGTAACCTCTTAGTCAACTCGGAACTCAGAAGTATCTGTGTGGGACCCACAAAAGGTGGACTCCTCCTCCACCAAAGTGGAAGCTCCTGATGGCAGGTATCAACTCTATTCTTCCTTCTAGTTCGTCCCCCAGGTCCAGGGCAGGCTTTTTTATTTTTAAAGGAGAAGCTAAAGATATGGGGAAGAAACTTAGAAATTGGCTGAATTTCTTCCTCATAGAGCACAAGAGCTGAAAGGCTCTTAGAGTTCACTAACTCAATCCTTATCATTTACGGATTAGTAAACTGAGTCCTATAAGGAAGGAAGGACTTTCCCAAGGTCACAGAACAAATGAACAATGATAGCAAGAATTCGAGCCTAGAGCTTATGACTCCTAGTTCCAATAATTATAGGATTTAGGGCTCATTTTACCAATGAGGACATAGACCCAGAGAGAGGAAGTGATTACAGCAGTCAGGAATCAAACCTAGGTCCAAATCCTGTTCTCTAACCACTGCATCATGCTGCCCTTTGCTTCTCTACATGCCTATTCTCCCCCTCACCCTCATGCCCACCCTTATAATTCATCGCACGTAGTACAGGTTCAGTGAGGGTGTGGGTAATCTGCTTTCTGGTGTGCAAAGTGGTGCAGCAGAATTGTGGAAGGCATCATGATAGTAAGAGGACATACTGAGAGCCCTCTGAGAGCCCAAGAGCCCGAGAAAGAAAAGCTCCCAAATGGCCATGGTTTTGCTGAAGACCGCCATGAATGGCTAGGCTACACTCCCTTTACCTTGAGGCCTTTCCCAAACATCTACCTATTGCTTTCAGAAAAGTCTGAGACATGGTGGAAAGAATCACAGGATTATGGCTCAAGAGACAGGGATATGGAGTGAGAATACTTAGGTTCAATCCCTGCTCTTCCACTTACCCCTTGTGTGTCCTTAGATGAGCCATTTCTCACTAAACCTCAGTTTTCTCTTCTGTAAAATAGGGTGGTTGAACAAGATGACCTCAGCTATAAACAGAGACATGTGGGATAAGGGGAAATGAGAGGCCCTACAAGGATTTGGAGTTCCAAATAGACAAGTATGGTGGCAAAAAAACAGGACATATATAGGAACCAGCTAGGACTTCTTCAGTCTGCCCCATCCTTCAGCTATTACAGGTCCTGCACTAACCAACAGGACAGATCTGTCCCCAGGGTTCAGAGCCTGAGAGTTCAGAAGGTCAGGCTACTGCTGTTCTTTGTCTCTTTTCTTCCCAATCTAGAAAAACTACAGGTAACTTTCTGATGTGCCTCTGCCCCATTGCTATTGAACATAATTGTGTCATTTCAAGGGATCTTGGCATCTCCCACTTCACTTCCCTAGTCTCTAGGTGAAACCAGAAGCTTCCATGGCCCTAGGGTAGTTTTAGGGGAGAGTGGCTTGGCCCAGGGCACTCCTAGCTGCCGAAACAAAAGGACCAGGCGTGGTCCCTAGTCAAAATAAGTCTTAGGAAAGATCCAGGCTCTCTCCAAATTTGTGAGCTGCATGAGCAGAGTGAGGCTTCCCTAAAAGGCCTAAGGGCCAGGGCTTACTAAGAGAGCTATACTTTTCAAGGGAAGATGCGTCTATGGCCTGAACTCTCAAATACTCTGACTCATACTGTCACTATCTGGAGAAAGATAAAAGGTGTCCTTTGGGCAACAGACTCCAACTTATCCCCATCCAATGTGGAAGTTCCCAGCTCTTTCCTTTGTTCAGGCCAACCCTACCTGCCCCTCCCCCATTTCCCCTCCATTTCCCTTTGTTACCATGTAGAGGATGAGAGGATGCAGATTCATGTGTCCTGGGGCAGATAGGGAGTAACTGAAAACTCTTAATAAGGCATTGTTTTTATTAAAGAAGAGATATGAGAAGACATCGTCCTCCCCTTTACACACACACACATACACACACACACTTTTATAGAGGTGAGAAGTCTACAGATGTGAAACACTGGATATATCAGGTTTGTTTTCCATGGATTGATTGGATTTTCTCTTTTTCTTTAAAAATACCTGTTTTTAGATGGAATGAGGGAAAGTGTAAGTGATGTAAAATCGAAATTTATATTTAAAATAAAGTTTTTTCTACTCAAGAGAGCTTTCTCTCCTTATTCTACTAGGCTTAATACTTACATCTGACCTCAGTGGGTCTTAAGTCTCTTCAAGGTCCTTCCTCACCACCATCTTTTCACTTTTCGTAGACCCTCTTTATAGACTTCGTTGCTCATTGTTCCCTCCCAGGGCTCAGAAGACAGCAAAAGCTGCACCTAGCCCCCTCAGAGTTGCCATAAGAAAGGATCCCATGGAAACTCATGAAGAGAACAATTTTCCAAACCAAAACTAAGAAACAGGCCATGACATAAAACATCCAAACTTATATTTCTATAGCTTTTTAAAGTTCTTTCATAATGACCCTATGAGGTAGAAAGTGTGTTATTTCTCTAATATCCAGATAAGAAAACTAAGGATGGGGAAAGGTTATAATAATCATTACACATCTAGTGGTGACCAAAGCTACTGGAGAGCTAGTACTCAGAGTCAAATTTCCTGAACTCTTTCCACTAAATCAACACAAAATGTTGAGTTACCAAATCCAATCTAAAAAGCATTTATTACATGTCAGTAATAGGTAGCTAGATAGCAGTGGATAGAGTGCTGGAACTAAAGTCAGGAAGATCTGAGTTCGAATTCAGCCTCAGACACTTAATAGTTGTGTGGCCCTGGGCAAGTCACTTATCCCTGTTTGCCTCAGTTTCCTGGGTCAGACACAACTGAGACAATTCAACAACAACAACAATAACATCCCCAGGTGTTTTGAAAAAACATTAGCTAGGCCCTTGGGCTAGGTCCTGGGTCTGGAGTCTGAAGATCCTGTTTCAAATCTTGGCTCTACTCATGTCAGTACCTGTGTGACATGAAATAAATCTTTTCCCTCTCTGAAACAGATTTTCTTCATCTATAAATTGGAGAATTAGATTCTCTAACTACTTGCAACTCAAACTCTTACGGAGTACGCAATACTTACGAAGTAAAGGCAGCTGGTGGCATGGTGGATAAAGCTCTGGGCCTGGAGTTAGGAAGACCTGAGTTCAAATCTACCCTCAGACACTCATTAGGTGTGTAACCCTGGACAAATCACTTATCCTCTGTCTAC